GGTTTGACACTGGATTGCAGTTTTCCATACTAGACTTCTTCAAAAGTCCATCTATATACTCATCTTGGTCCAAATATATATTGTCATCATTTCTTGAAATCCGAATGCTTAAAAACTGCCTTGCTTCTCCCAAAAACTTAATTTTTAAGTTAGTCATTAGTTTAACTTTTAAATTTTCCAAATATGTTTTCTCATTGCTGAATAGTAAAATGTCATCTACATAAATAGCCAAGAATGTCATCTTTGATCCATTTCTATGCATATAAATGCAAGGATCCACTTTGTATTCCAAACTAGACTTGACTGCTTAAGCCCATACACTGCTTTGTTGAGCTTTAAAACGTGACTATCACATTTAATTGGAATACCTTCAGGTTTTTCGATATAAATATCTTCTAGTAATTCACCCTGAAGAAATGCTGTTACCGCATCCATTTGTTCTATTTGCAGACCATATCTCGCTGCTAACGCAATAAGAAAACGTATTGAAATATACCTTACTACTGGTGAATACGTTTCTTCGTAATCTATTCCCTTTTTCTGTGTTTAGCCATTTGATACCAACCTGGCCTTATATCTGATATTGTTATCTGGTTGCTTTTCGGCTTCTCTACCAGAGACCATGTATCATTATCTTCAAGTGATTTGATCTCGCTCTTCATTGCTTCAATCCATTTATGTTTTTCACAACTTTTCATAACATCTTCTAGGCATAGCGGTCCATCTACGATTTCCTGTATAACCGTTTGCACTGTTTTTTTAGCAGCAATTCTTTCACTTCTGCGTGGAAATGATGGAACGTCTTGATTATCTACATGCTCAATATTGACGCTTTCAACTTCACTAGATACCCCCACTTCATGCCCATCTTTTGGAACTGATGAACATGACCCAAAATCACTTTGACTAGATTATCTTGTTCCTCCAATTGAACCACATAACGTGGAATTTCATCTCTGTCCTGGCTTTGGTTTTCTGTGCAAGTGTCGTTCTCGTGAAAAATTACATCTCGACATACAAAGACTTGTTTTCGACTCAAGCTATAAACACGATATCCTTTGGACGACCGACAAAAACACATTTTTCCGATTTTGTGTCCAGTTTACGTCGTTTTTGTTTAGGAATATGGCACATTGCAGTACATCCAAATATTTTGAAATAACTAACATTAGGCTTATATCCGGATCACATTTCTTCTGGAGTCTTCATTAGCATTTTATGGGGTGATTGATTTATTATATAGCTAGCACAATATACAGCTTCTGCCCAAAAAGATTTCGGCATTCCTGCATCACACAGCATTGCTAGACCATTCTGCTCTGGAGTATACGGAATTGTCGTCTGATGAATTATTCCGCTTTTCCTTAGTTCAGGTTCCATTTTCTTATTTACGTACTCCTTACCGTTGTCATTACGCAAAATTTTGATGGACCTTTCACATGGTTTTCCACTTCGGCTTTGAATTCAAGAAAACGATCCGCAACTTCTTTATTTTTACCCTGCGAGTATAGTCATCCACAAATGTTACAAAATATCGATTTCCGCCTAAAGATTTCACTTCCATTGGGCTCTGTGTCCTTCCGAGGGAAAACTGAGGCGGTGTTGCTTTCCTTTGGCCCATGAAATACACGACTTTACGGAATCTTTGCCCAATTGCGCACCCTTTACATAGCCGGTTGCTAGAAGTTTCAAATTTTCAGATCCTAAGTGTTCAAATCTGCGATGCCAAAGTTCCGTGGAATTTTCTCTTGCTACATACGTGGCTTTTGTTGTATTAATATCCAATCTGTATAATCCATTTACTTGTTTTGCCATTCCAATTATTTCCTTTGATGAGTCTAATATCCGACATCCATTTCTATCAAACACCACACTATTTTCTTTATCTACAATTTTCTTTATAGACAAAAGACTCACTTCCAAATCTGGAACATAAAGAATATCCTTAACTGTTACTGTTCTATTTCCTCTGGGCGTATATAGTGACACCTCAATGTCACCCTTTCCAATAGCTTGCATTGTGGTGTTATTAGCCGCTCTTCTTTGTCCAGAATACTCACAAAAATTTGTAAAATGTTCGCGTTTTGTCGTCATATGATTGGTAGCTCCGCTATCAATATACCATTCCTCGGATGACGATTCTGCCTTTAACGCTGCGACGGCGATGGTTCAAACTTGACATCTTGAAGAAGCTTAATTTTAACACTATCCGCTGTTAATGGTTTGCCTGTGCCTCCCATAGTCAATAGCAAACTTCCAATCCACTCGTCATTAACAGAAAACCCTATATCGTTCAACTTCTGTGCCGTTGTAATAATCTGGTTTACGCAGTCTTCCACCGAAGAACATTCCACTAATTGCACAGAACACAATTTTTGCAGCAGACCAATCCTTCTATCCAAACCAGTATCTTGAAATAAACTCTTGAGGGATTTCCACACTTTAGTTGCTGTTGTGCAATCACGAACATGTACAAACTCTTGTCAATTGCTAAAATTATTTTGCATCTTGCCTTTTGATCATTTTCAACATTAACTTCGGCTGAATTTCTCACAGGCTCTATGCATGACCATGCATCTTCCAGTTCTAACTGCGTCTTCATGGCAAAACTCCAAGTCGACCAATTTTCCGATCCGACCAGTTTCTCCATTTGTTGAATCGCCCCAAGCGTATTCATTGCGGCGCACATCTAGTTTAGGATCTCACAATCCACAAAATCTATATGATTCCCGATTCAGTTATGGCCTGGGCCCATAACCTTTTAGCAGAGCAAAAATTAAACACGTATTTTTAGTTGAACGATTTGAAAGAGAATGAAAAATTATATTTATTGGCATAAGTTTCAAGGTATAGAAAAATTCAATTCACAAGGTCTACATGGTTTTGTTTGCACAGGTATTTTTTCATACAGTATATTTCAATAGTTACGCGGTTAACTTTTAACCCTTTAACGCAACAAAATTTGTTTCCAACTGTTCGCACGCAATTTGTACAAAACAAACGGCTGCAAAACGGAACGAAATGTGAATGCGTTTAATAAAACTATTTATTTTAGATATTGCGCACGGAAACTACTAATTTTATTTTTATTATTGTAAAATAATAACCTGCAAAAAATAAATGGTATATCATAGTATATATTGTGCACGAGTCAGACTAGTGATAATCATGTTTGGCACAAAAATTGTACCACGAGTCAGACTCGTGGAAATATGTCAAGGGGTTAGACAATTCTTAAAATTTATTGGTCCTGCCAAGCCTAGACAACATTTAAGTAGTACGTGGGCTATGACATTTTGGGAGTTGATTCATACGACCCATTTTCGGAATCGATCTAGATTTATCATTTGGGGAGTTACCAGAAGGAGTAGACCGATAGGCTGCATATTCAGATATTATTAAGATTTAGTAAAAGTTTTACTTTTGAGCAAAATAAGCTTCGTATTAGCTATACACATTTTCAAAAATTTGACCCTTTATTAGAAAGGAGTGGGTCTATAAATCCCATGTTCGGATTGAAATAATGTTTGACAAAGTTATTACGATGTGCAGAGTTTTTACAAAATCTGAGAGGTAATAGAAGGAGTAGAACTATAATTTCCAACAATACGATATACATTTAGTACAAATATTCGGTTGTGTTGAGATTTGGATAAGTACTCATAATCTTTCACAGGATATAATAAATTTATTTTTAAAATTTTGACAATTTGCAGGGAGAAACTAGAAGGAGTGGTTTGTTATTCTCTTTATTCGAAATTCGTTTAGGTTTGAAGGAAATATTACGATGTGCAATGTTTGGATTAAATCGGCCACCCTTTCGAAAGTTATCATGCGCACCATCCAACCAAACAGGGGTTTGGCAGGCTTGCAGACAAATTGGGCGATCTTCAGAAAAAAGCATTATCAAGTAATGGAAAAATTCAAAGAAAGTGAACTGGATGAAATGAAGCGCCATAACATTCTGATGGAGAAGTTACGAATACGGGAGAGTACATATTGGCAAAAACAAACCTGCAATTGGAACAACTTAATTGATGAATTTCCCCTAATTAAATAATAAGACTCATGTGTGATATGAATGCAATTTGTTTAACTTTTTTCAAAAAAGTAAAAATTTTTATATAAATAAATTTTATGTTTTAATTAAATAAAACTAAACTAAACTAAGATTCCATATACCAAAAATGTTACTCCTATATTTTCCACGATTGAAGGATTTTTCTCTCGAGAGAAACGCTTTCCGCGGGAATAGAATTTCTCCCAAATTTTGGCGATTGGTCTGATTTTGTTGCTGTGGGCAACATTGTGCCATAAAGGGTTAACGGTGATTTTCTCAATGTTATGTGTACAGTACAAATTGTTGCCAATTTTAATAGAATCTACATATTTTTTAGCTGTTTGCATCGGCATCCTGTCCCAAATATTACACAGGTTTTCTCCAATTAGTCGATATGTCTCAAACATCGAAATTGAGATTCAATTAATCTGATTGAGTGAAATCGAATAACTGGAAACTGTTGTTATTCGGATGGAAATGGTTAAAATAACTTAAAATACCATACATTATTGTTATCGTGTTCTTTAATTCTAAGCTTCTTAATATTGACATTTCATTCCCGCATCAGGCCAAAAAATACTTTTTACATATTACTGATAACACAAACTTTAAAATTGGATCGATAACAGTGCTTATGTGTTGCATTTTTAGTTAGCTCAATTAATAATTCGGGGCAGAGAGAGTCTCAAAGCAGTAATTGTTAAAAAAATTAACTTCTGTTTTAAGAATGCAATAACAAGTTTTTGAATCTGAAATAAAAATTTCACGTGCTTGATTATGATGCTTTGAGCTGTTTATTATTTTAATCATAATCGGCATTTATTATTAAATTGCAGGGGTCTAAAGTTTGGGTGTTAAAAAATACAAATAATTTCATACTTTTTTGTATTTTAGATTTATTGTGCATATCTTAATTAAAATTAAATGATAAAAGTCATATGATTTCATATATGTTAATAAAAATATTTTATGGTGCTAGCATTTTGGATAGTTCTTCATCCTGAAGACAACCTTTCAGAAATTCTTCTTGTGTTAATTGACCATCGTTATTTTCGTCCATTTTCGAAAATATATTTTTCGCTCTTTCTTCTGCAGAATCAGCTGGTCGATTAGAAGAACATGCGCCCAGCATGTCGTATATAGCCTAAAAATAAATGATATATATTATATATTTAAAAAACAACTATTATAAAAAAACTAATACATTAAAGAAAAAATTAAACAACAACAACTTTTTATACCCTCCACCAAATGGTGTGCATTCAAATTTTCTTGAAAAAATACAATAACTTCTTATGGTTACTTGTCATTGTAAATTGTCCGCTAGCAGGTTATTTATTTAGGATAATGAAAACCCAAATTACAGACAAAATTATTAATGTCCTTTGTATCCGACCGATGTAACAAGTAAAGAAGTGTCAGTCGGTATTGCCGACAGATATTTACCCTCAGCATATCTTACGTTCCATATGAGATTAAGAAATTTTCAAAATATGTTTCAAATTAGACAGGCATAGATAAAATTATAAAATTATTTCTCTGTAAAATTTTTAACATTTTGTTTGGGAGGTTCCAAAAAGAGGTTGACCAGTGAGCCCTATCTTCCAACTTGAATTAAGTTTGAAAGAAATATTACGATATGCACATCTAATTGGACATTTTACGCAATTATTATTGGATCAATAAATTTTTATTGGTCCATTGTGGGAAGGTACCATAAAGAGTGGAAGCGATAGAAATATACATTTGAAAGATTTTCATTCATGTTTTTCATTTTTATTTTGAGGATTCCAAACTATTTAGGTTTTAAAACAAATAATTTTTTTTATAATTTGAATTTTTTTAAATGTTTTGATTAAGTGTCGTTGACACTTGCATTACATACAACAACAACAATGTACAACAATACTTGTTGTTAAATACTTGTTGTTATTATATCATCAACAATATACAGGTATGGTTAAAATATTGGGTTGTGCAATGTTTGGTTTGAATCGGGTGCTCTGTTCAAATTTGACCATTTTGTGGGGCAGATACCAGAAGGAGTGGATTGATCTTCCCCATCTTCAAACTTGATTTCGAGTTGGATATATTATATTTCGAGTTGGATATATTCAGTTGATATATTACAACCGCCAGTTGGGGAAAAGTGTGATCGAATTGTCGGAAATAGGTTCAGATACAGGAAAGAGAATATAGCTACCCACTCACGTGATTTTACATTTTGTCACGAAACAATTTGACAGACTATATTAAAAAGCAAATACTCAACAAGTGCAGCAAAAAACCCTTACTATATGTAACAAATATAGACAAAAGGATTTCATTCGCCAATATGAACCTTTCACACACGACTGAATATTGGGACTACGTTATTTTTGCGATGAAACTAAATGATGGTCGTTTGTCAATGGTAAATATTAAAAAAAAATAATTTTGAACGACTATTTCAATATTATCGGTAAGTTATATGAGATCGCCAAATTCTGGACAGAGGTCCTATCAAGATGTCGATTGGCGCTATAACAATTAAAATATCGTCTGACAATAGGAAGCTCAGATTATTGAAAATGTTCACTTTTACTATAAACATCAGTTCCATCTGTTTATTGTCATCATTTCATGTTAATATTTTGACACATGTAAATATTATATATATTATATGTATAACATTTTACAAATATAAAAATATAAAAGTTTTATTTTGATCGCATGTCATTTGTATACCTTGACCGACAATTTGATGTGAAATATATAATGTTTTATCGGCTCTAACAGAAATTGACTTTTTGCAAAAAAAAAAAATCGATTCCTGGCTCGTAGTGGAACGGCGGGAAGTTGTCACCTTTGTTGGATCTGAGATGTTTTCTTATTTGTATGTATATTTGTTATATCAGACTAATTTCGAGCTGTCACTAAACCAGTTTGACAAAATGTGGAGTATATTAAGAACAAAATTGCCGGCAACTTTGAAGTACAATTGCGAGCCATAAAAAATGCAACGCTTTGGCCATATGATATGTAATTACATTTGTTTCAAAATTACGGTAACTAATATTTTTTTACTGTTTTTTTTTTTAGTTTTCAAACTAATCCTATTTTATTCCAAATTATTTTTATAAAAGTTAAAATGTTTTTAAAAGATTTACGAAATTGGTACTTTTCGGATACTTATTTCGAATTTCGAAAAATCCTACACCTCAGTTATCCTCATTTCAACTCCACCCGTTCGACAAATAGAACTGGTATCTAAAAACCCAGCCTAATCTGACACTTTCGGACTAAGAGTGGTCCCCAAGCAAATTTTCAAGATTCTACCTTCAGTCGTGTTCTCTGGGTGTTGATTAATTTTTATATTGAAATGTGTTAATGGCAACTCTTATGCAACATGTATGACGTTAGCTTAGAACATATTCTTAAGTTGTAAAAAATCTATATATTTATTCGTAGTCTCTAAGTTGAACTCCTGAAGTGAAGTCGCATTGTGCATCATAATTAATAATCTTATATTCAATAAACTATGTTAAACAGAGTAACACAAAGTGTTTACATCAGGTTATGGGCCCAGATGCCGAAACTGTGTAAAGATTAAATTGTAAAGAATAATTTGAGAGACAATAATAAGAAACAAGATGAGTCCACCAAATTTCCAAATTGATAAATTGGATGAGAATAACTATGACAGTTGGGTTATTCAAATGCGCAGCATTTTGATCCATGGTGGCCAGTGGAAAATTGTGAGCGGTCAACTCAAGAAGGAGGATGGCGCAACAAATGTAGAGCAGTGGCTACGAGAGGATGAAAAGGCGTTAGCATCCATATTTCTTTGTGTGAAGCCAACACAGTTGGGGTACATAAGGAGCTGTACTACATCACATGAAGCGTGGACGAAATTGGAGGACACATACATGCCTCGAGGACCATTACAAAAGGTGTCACTATATAAAAGGTTGGTGAATTTGAAAATGGCAGAAGCTGGTGGTATGGTGCAGCACATAAATGAATTTTCCGAAATTTATGAGAAAGAAGGAGACGGGAATTCAGATTCAGGAGGTGCTATTGGTAATTATGCTTTTGTCAAGTCTTTCTAGTGCCTATGAAAACTTTGTGGTGGCCAATGAGACACGGGATGATCTTCCATCGTTGCCCATCATGAAACAGAAACTTTTCGAGGAGGGGAAGAGGCGAGAGGAAAGGGTTGTTGAGTTGACAACAGAGCAGGCGTTTGCTGCTAAAACAACAACCAATAGCAACTCAGAGAAGAGACAAAACAACAACAAAAGACAATATGAAAATGTTTTGTATGCGGTGCAACGGGTCATTTCGCAAGTAAATGTGAGCAGAGAAAAGCAGGTAGCAACCCACAGGTAACGACGATGGTGGCAGCGACGGATTGTGCGCCCATAGGCAGAAACATTTAGCCTGGGACGTTCTTAAATATGGTAATCTTGATCATTTCAGCGCAAATTTAAAAACTATTTATATCTATTAAACAAAATAGTTAAAAATGGAAGTACTATTCTGTCTCAAATTTCAAGTAGACTAGTTGAGCAGTCTACTTAAGGAAAAGAACAATAATATTATTGTACCTGTACTGAAAAGTCCTATTTGCGACGCACTTTACAGATGTGTTATAATTCAGCATGGAAAACATCCCCCAATTACACAAAAAATTTAATTTTTAAATTTAAGTTTTTACAGCGCATTTACATCAATAGAAAATTAAAATAAAAACTAATATTGGCAATATATAAAGTAAAAAATCATCAGATGGTTTTTTTGATATAGATCAAACGCTATCTAATGCATTAGGCATGTTTAAAAACCCAACCGGAAATTAATTGTGACACAGACATTTAAATTTCAGTATCGGATATCACCAGGAAATATATTAAGTTGTCAATTGAATTATTTACAGATTTCCTACCACTTTTATAAAATGGAACCAAGTAATTTGAACATTTAGGATCTATTATCTACAATAATGGTTCAAAACAAAACATTACTTGAATAAAAAGTTGCGCAGAAGACTTTATTAGAGCGAACAAAACAACAAATAAATATTCTTCCATTTTACAACTGAGTTTATACAATTAAAAATAACCGTAGAAAACACAATAAAAGCCCTAAAAGTGAAAAGTTTTTTTTCCTTCTCATTGCAAAACTTAGATCATCAAGCTCGACTCGAAAGAGTATAAATAACCACTTAAAATTACTTTCAAATGATCACTGCCCTTACAAGGCAAAATTCAAATAACAAAATTTTTTTTTTCTCGAAAAACTTTGTTATTCTAAAGAAGATTTAGACTTCGACAAACGACTGAAGGGTGATTTGGATTTTAAATACAAAATTGTGAGTTTTAAACTCGCGTTTCCTAAATGTATACTAATACTAACCTATAGATTCAACGTATAAAAGCACAACCCCATGACGATATAAGGAAATTTATTCAAGGAAACCTCATATATCACAATTTGTTCATGGAATAGTTGTAACAGAAATATAGCTGTTAACGACATCGAGTGTGTTAATAAGAGAGAAATAGAAAGAACGATATAGTGTGGTCTGCGATGGTGTGTAAAAAATAACGAGGCAATAATTTTAAATAAAGAGTGGAAACAAGTACATATATTCGGATCTGTTATCTTAAATGTGTAGGTATGAATTGCGCACTTAAACGAACAATTTGAGACGGTATCTGAGGAAATATACTAAATAGATGTATTTTTTGCATATAAAGTGCAGCTGAATCAAAACTACAGTATATGAAAAGAAATAACCACCAATAAAACCAAGAATAGGTAACTTAATTGCATTCTCTCTTCTTTTTCATACACATTGACTTTTTGTGAGTCTCTGACTCGCATTCCACCGATCCCTTGAACTAATTAATTGATCACAAATACCAGTTTCCTTGAATGTGGATTCCGCGCTTTTTTGTTTACTTTCTAATTTGTACCGGTATTCTTAAATTGTATATATACAGCATAGACTTTGTTCTTAAATAGTTTAAATAGCGTTTAGTTTTGTGAAAGGGAAGACATCGCCTTGAGGCGATGAATACTGAATAATAGAACTAATTGGAGAATACATCCAGAAGTCTATTGTTGAATAAGTGAAAAGTGTTGTATTCCTTTCGGTTT